GAGGGGGGGGGTAAGGTTGATCCATTTTTAGGTCAACGAGCAGCTTTAGAGCTTATTGCTTCCATTTCATTTTCACTTTTCAGCAAGAAGTGTTTGCAAATTGGTAAAAAGGGAAAGAAAAAGTCAAAGCTAACAAATATCAAAGACCCTAAACATGATTACCTCATAAAAGAAGCAGAATCTTGAGTAATTTGATTGTGTTTTTAAAATTTCAATTCACAATACACACCAAACATAAGAAATTGATTGATAAAGTAATCGAAACTTTTTTTGTTTTTACCTGGGTAATGAAGAACACAGAGATTCTTGATGTCCGGATGACTCAATCCATTTTGGAAATTGCAAAGAAAAATGCTTTGAAGAACTTTTAGGGAGAGGAGATAACTATAAGCTTGGTGACATTGATTGAAGAGTAAAAAACAGGGCTCAGAAATGAGTGGGGATTGAAGAGGGGTAGTAGGGTCTGTTAATTTCAAAGAGTGGAAGAAAAAATGGTTTGCTTGAAAAAGCACATGAAGCAAATGCAAATCATATGCTTCTTGAGTGGTGGTGGATCACGTATGTGTTTTTGTTTGGTCAAGCCTCCAATTATTATTTTTTAGACATTTAATTAATATTTACTCTAATTGAGTATTTGTTGTTATACGGGGCAAAGTATTTTAATTCACATTATTGTTTATATCATGATTTGAGTAATGATTTGCAAATTAATACACGTTCAGAGCTTATTATTTTACATTACTTAATACTTTTTATCCTTATTAATTTTTGGGGATATTCACAAATACTTTTTGTGTGGTGAACAATCAATCAAATCACTATTGAATTTGAAATTTAATGCGTTTCGCAATATCTACCGACTATGTATTTTAAACTAGATATTTTCGTGTACTAAGCGACGAATACGAATGATTTCTTTTAAAAATTAGTTTCTATAGACAATTTTTTTTTTTGACAAATTCATTTTCTAATGAGTTTGAAATAAGATATTTAACGGATAAGAGTAAGACTATGGATTATATCTTCTTTAAATTTAAAATTCAATCGTATCTCTTAATCTTATCTTTTCCTTAATATACGAAATAATGTCCAAAATTAATCCGATTTATGCATTGAATAATTGTACCTAAAATATCATGATTTGTACTACTTAAAATTAAGTATGGCTTGTCCTAAAAGTGGTAAATGCTTTATAAGGTATATTGATAAGGGATAATGACTTAGACTGGTAATATACTTTTCGATTTGTATATATTTGGTCATTGTGTTTTTTGTCCATATTTGCCCATTAAACTTGTTTTTTTGTCCATATCTTATCATTATGATCGGTTGGTGTGAGTTTAGCCGGTTCCCAACGTTCTTTGCATCCCTGACAAGACTTCGGTCATCTTCTCTGACGAGTCTCCGACGAAGATATAAGTATGGATCAAAGTTAAAGGAAACCAATCCATAGTGCTTTGAGAAATCAATCCTCCATTTTTAGATTAATAGAATGACAAGAAGAAAAGAAGAAACATTTGACATCAAGAGATTTATAAGCTTACTTATGAAATCAAGAACAACTTGCTCAAAAATCATATATCATTCATCATATAAGGCTTGCTTATATATCTTAATGAAGGCTTAATCATGTCAAATGTAAGAGATGAAGACAATTTTCAGCAAAAAATATAAAAAAAATCGAGACATCAAATAGGTGTTCATCCTAAAAGATGAAACTTTATGCAGTGAAGGTCATCATCATCGTCTTCTTCTTCTTCATCGACCACCACTACATGTTGGCCTCCGAGGAATGATAATTTGGAGCTCTGGAAATTCAAAGAAGGGATGAAGATCGTTAGGGTTTGTTGATGTTGAGTCGTTAACGCAGTCGTTAAGGGATTTTGCGACGCCGTAAGAACGAGTAGCATCCTCTGCTAAATTGAAGGTACCAAGCCAAACCCTAGGTTTCTTAAATGGATCGCTAACTTCTGCAACGAATCAACCCCTATCGTTCTTATTTATTTCTTGCGTGTGTCTGTGAAAGGCGAATCAAATGAGAAACGAGATATGAACCCTAATTTGGAGGTTCTGCCCCCATTCCCTATTCTTGATTTTCTATGGAGAAAAAAATAAGGAACGATGGATCTGGATCTTTATGATGGTTGGTTGCTTTCTTTCAACAACTTACAAAAAAAAGAATGATATTTGAAGACTCACCGGTGCAGTCAAATACGCTGGAAACCGGCTAAACCTACGATAGTAGGTCATAATGATGTTTTTTAAACACTTCAAACAAGTTCAATGAAAAAATATAGACAAAAAAAATCAGTGATTAAATGTGTACAAATCAAAAAATATCTTATCATTTTAAGTAATTTTACCTTTAAAAACTATGTGTCTTAATGTTTAGTGTAATTTGGAAATAACTTTATTGTCACACCCCCGGCCGGTAGCGGAAACGTCAGGCAGTGTGAATTGGATCGAGGCATATATATATATATATATATATATATATATATATATATATATATATATATAGAACATAACACAAAAGTATATCACAAACAATACTTTTATTTATTATAATTTTATTTGTGATTGCATTGTTTAAAAGGGTTAAGCACACATCCTAAACATAATTAGAAATGACAAACAAATGGAACTAAACTCCAACAAGCTTCCTTGAAAACCTCCTCCTCAGCACGACTATCCTCCACACTCATCTCTCTGAGAATACATGTATTTTTAAAAATATCAACACAATGTTGGTGACTGCACAAGTTTTTATAGTTTATTTGGTTGTATTAATTAAGAATCATTTTTCTTTTAGTAAACTTTTCTTGAAATATTTTATCAACCCTAGTTTACAATCTTTTTAGGAGCTCTAACGATCATATCTTATTATCTTTTAGGATATTTTATTAATCCTAATTTACTATCTTTGTAGGATATTTAACTAATCATAATGTATTTTATCTACCACTCTAAGGCGTCCCTATTGGTAGTCGGGTCTCTAAGGTGGTTGTAATGTATTACCATGAGCCCCCATAATCGACGTTGTTTGACTAGTGAACGATTACAATAAAGTTCCTATTGGTAGTCGGATCTCTAAGGTGGTTGTAATGTATTACCACTCTAAGGCGTCCCAACATGAACGATTACGATAAAGTTCCAAAAAACCACAATATATCCAAATCTATCATCTGATTAAAGTTCCAAAAAAGCACAATAAATCCAAAGTTACAAACAAAAAATAATGTATGATTACGATAAGTTCAAAGAAACATCAACAATTACTATAACACAAAATCATTATACTTTCCATCTTTCTCTTCATCTTCATCAACATTTAAGTCATTACTCTTCTGTAACAAATGGATAAGTACATGAGCTTCATAATTGAGAAGTGAACCAAATAAAGTATAGACGATATGAAGAAAGTAAAGACAATAGTTCCGATAAAAAACTATTACCTCTGAAAAATCATATGGTCACAAGGAGATTTAGTTACATGTTTGCAGACTTTTGGATCGCGTAGGGTGAGAAAATAGACAAATAGTAAACAAGAAGAACGCTTAAAATCAATAATGGAACAGAGCTCATTAGTAGAGTATTTATATCTTAACGCACACATAAGTGGATTGGAAGTGCACATGGTGGTGTCTTGGGTGTTCATTGGTGATTGTTGTCCTACGAGCTTCGCCTCAAACTGAAGACTTAATGGTGTTCTAAAGTTGATAACAGTAATATGTGTGTTGGAATTCAGAGACGTAAGAACGAAATTGGAAGTGGGTGAAGGTGTGATAGTCATGAAGCTGCACCACTAGTGAAGGTGTGGTGCAGGTGGTGGTGGCGGTGAGGGAATGAAGGAAAAGAATATTGTCACAACCATTCAATTGAGTTTGATTTATGAGAAGAGACACTGACTAGAGAAGGCTATCAGTGTTAGAGACACCAATTTTGTATCCGGATGAGTAAGGCTTTCTTGAAGATGATGGGGAGTGGCGAACGGTATGTTAGGGTGTTTATTTATTTTCTTTTTCTTAACAAAAAGATTAAAAATATGTATAAAATAAAATAAAAAGGGAAAACTAGTCTTTTTCATGACAAAAAGACCATGCGGGCAAGAAAAACAAATCACATGGACCAAGCGCGTAGGAATTTCAAAACTTGTCCTTACTATGCCTGTTTTGGGAAACCATATAGACCAAACGCATAATTATGTCTATATAATAATATGCACCCATTTTAAACAAAAAGTTAGTCGCAAAATAGTAGGACATTAAGTGTTAGAAGAAAAGATGGCAATGTTTTTATTAAAATTATGGGAAATAATAAACATTTTCGAACGGTTAAATAAAGATTTCAACACTCCACGTAGACAGTTCATAGATGTTTTAATGAGGTAAGAATTGCAATGATGAATTTAATAAGAGAAGTTGTAGTGTCGACATCTTGTGATGCAACCTCAAATAACTTTGAGTGACATAAAAAGCTAAATGAAATATCCCCAAAGCAATATGTACGTTTCCATGGTACTTTTGTATATGCATTTGCGTCCATTGATCAACTTATAGGTGAAGAGGATATCAAAATGTAGGAATTTGTGATTTTTATACGATATTCACGTTGTATTATCCCCTATGATGGGAACGTAACGGTTGATATGTGGAACTCCATATTGGAGATCCAAGGTTCAAATATTAGCATGCCTAAAATATCGTTAGTGTTCCATGATTGACCTCCTACATGAATCTTAGAGCAGATTGACGTGAGTTACTCAGATGGTGTGATTTACCATTTATGTAACACCCTGTTTCGAGAAGTTTCTTATTTCGGGATTATGGACAATAAATCGATCAAGTAAAGGCATTGGGCTTCAATGTAATAGGGTTTAGACCCTATTGGATGTTGATAATATTGTTTATGTGATCTAATCGCTTGGCTTGTGTTTTGGAGTCAAAGGGTAAAATAGGCAAAGTGATTTTTTGGATTTCTTTCATGAATTAAGGATTTTAGTTCGGTATGTTTTAATTCAAAATTAACTAGATAGTAGTGTGGGGCTTGTCGGTAACTTTATATGGATATAAAGAACGTTGAAAACGGACTTGAAACGAAGAAGTTATGGTTGTTTGAAGCTGGAATGGATTTGGGTGAAAAATTATCGCCAAGGCGTGGAAGCCCACGGCGCGGCAATCTGTCAGGCCTAAGTCCATGATTTTAGGGTTTTCAACATATTTAATCATAAGGCTCCGCATTTTTGGGCATTTTAGCAGCCTCTACCACCTCTAGGACCCCTTGAGAGAAACCCTAGCCTCCACCTTCAAGATTTGAGTTTCTCCTCTCTTCTCTCTCCTCTTTTGTATGTTTTTATGATATTTTGACGAAGTTTGATGATCAAGAAGGGTCTTTTGGTTGCAAGGAAAGTTGTTTCAAGTTTGGATTCATCAAAGACACTACATTTCTAGACTATTGTAAGTATAAAAATCCAATCTTGATATTTAGTTCTTTAGATCTTGTCATTAGGGGACTTTTTGTCCATTTTATGGGTGATCTTAGAGTTGAGTGGACTCCAACATCTTTTGATCAGTTTAGAATGCTTCATGGACAAGGAAAGTTATGATCTTTTTCCTTTCCTTTTAGCCATACAAGTTATCTTGGTCCTTTAGGCTATTTTGGTGTATTAAAGCTTAGATTTTGAAAGATTGTGACATTATTATGGATAAAGTTGGAAACTTTATCCATTTAAACATCTTGTTGATCCAGAACTGAAAGTGGGAGACTTGGACTTAATAGATTAAGTTGAGAAAGATGTATTTTTGGGTCCCTTTGAGACTTAAAGTCTAGATCTTGGTGGTTTGGACCTTCCTAATGGTTAAAGTTAGAAACTTTATCCATTAAGACCTTGGAAAGGATCAGATCTGAGCTTTGGAGCTCTTAAAATCGGAAGAAAATGGATTAAGCTCGTTTGAGCTGTTCAGACCAGTCCCCACGGCGTGGCGACTGGGTAATCAACAACTGTTTTGGCATTTTGTGCCCATGACGTGGCCAAGGAAGGCCACGACGTGCAGGGCTGTTGTTGGCATTTTTGATCTTAGCTTTGACCATTGACTTTTTGACCAGCTTGACTTTTGGTCAAACTTGGGTAGAATTGAGTATTTGAATAATGGTTGGTTTCGGTTTGGCTATAGGAAGCTTGGGATGGTTGTTCCGTAACTGAGGTAGCTATTGAACTTCTGTCGAGTGGTTCAGGTGAGTCTCTTCACTATACTCGTGCTTCGAAGGCATGAGTGTCGACCTAATAGATTATGTTGTAGTATGATAATTGTCTTTGTGACACTTGATGATATGATTGTATGTGCTTGTTGTCTTTCTGACTCTTGCTATTATGTCGGTATGCTTTATATATGTGGGGTAATATAGACCCGGGGTGAAATAGACCCGTTCGATTGAAAAATAACGATTGAGTTGAAATAGAATCAGGGGTGAAATAGACCCATTCGGTTGAAAAATATTGATTGAGTTGAAATAGACTCGGGGATGAAATAAGTCTGGGGGTGAAATAAACCCATTTAGTTGAAAAATATCGATTGAAGTTTCGTGTTCATGTTCGTTCGTTTAACAGATTACCTTATTCGTATTTGTTCATATATGTATGTCAAGAATATAGAGGAACATAAACAAACTAAATTGGTTACATGTCACCTTTTCATGGGAGTGTGGAATCTTCAAACCATTTGTTTGTGACTTGTCCAATATTTTCCTTGATTTGGAACCAAACTGGTTGTGTGTGGGATATTCATATCCCCCTAAAATTCTTAGGGAAAGGGTGGTAATGTTGAGTGGATATGTTACACCCTCGGCCAGCGGCGGAATCGCCGAGCTGTGCGACGTTTGGTTTTGGAAGGTCAACATAATGTTGGTGAATTCATAGGTTTTATAGTTTGAAAATACTTTTTACTAAATTTAGTTATGAAAGTATCTTTGGCCTCTACGGTTTTAGGGTAAGGTTTTACTGTTTGTTTGGGGTAGGTTAACAGGGCTTCGTCCTATTCAACCTATATAAGTATCTACTGCAGGTGGGTTAACAGGATACCGTATTATCCAATAACTGTTTGCCTAAGACGTTCCTCTTTTTCCAATGTTCGTAGTATTATTACGTATAAATGTATGTACTACCTATCAATTTAAGGTTGATGGACAATGTTACAATAAGTTCCTTATAATCGATTTTCGGATTCTAACTAATGTCATGCACGATACTTTACCGTAAAGATCACGATTATAGGTCGGGGTATAGCTAAAAACTAATTAGTTTTTTTAAGAAGAGTGAAGTGTCTCATTTAACCGTTGTTTAGTTTAGCCTTAATGTGTTGTCGTCATATCATGTATCTTACTTTCCGTTGTTATCTTTAGTTATTTTAATATATATGATCATATATATGTATTTGATTTAGTTTAGCTTATTCGGTTTTCGTATATCCGTATCGTGGCTATTTCTGTGTAGCCCTATCGTGGCTTTGATTTTATTGTTTCGTTTGTGTTGTACGTAATCTCTCTCTCTCTCTCTCTCTCTCTAT